CTTCTCAGCCCTCCTGGCGGCATCCTGCAGCTCTGCATGGAGCCCGGAGGCTTCCACATTTCTTTCTGCGTTCTGGATCCTAAAGTCTGGCTTTCCCATCCTTCCTCCTGCTCAGATCCTTTCTACCCCCCCATGCACCTCCTTCCCACCCAGCATGGCCCCCTCCCCCCACCCAGGGTCCCCTCCTCGCATGGCCCCCGCTCCTCCAGAGAACCTTCCCGGGCAGGCAGTGTGGGGCCCAGGCCAGCTTTCCCAGTGACCCCTTCCTGGGGTCTTCTGGGTCCTCTTTCTCAGGGGTGCCCTCCCCCTGCCCCACGATGCCTGGGCTTGGCACGTGCTCAGCAGCGGCAGAGGTGTCGCTTGGGGATGGGGTGCCTCCTGGGCCTGGCGCCTGCCCTTGTTTATGGGTCCAGCCCCCGCCCCGCGCCGCTCGCCGCGCACCAGCTGCCCGCCTGTGTCCAGCCAGGTGTGGGGTGATGGAGCAGGACTCCCCGAAGACAAGGAGCACAGTGTCTGCTTTATTTGCAGGCTCGGGGCTGACGAGGAACAGAATGGCCACAGTGACTGCTTCCAGGAAACGGGGGGGGGGAGCAGGCCCTTCCCAGCAAACCCCCAAAGGTGAGTTTCCAGGAAGGGCCCCCGCCAGCTCCCCTCAGCCCTGGAAGGGGGCCAATCGTGTCACCAGGAGCAGGCCAGGCATGGCGGGAGGTGGGGGAGAGAGCCGAGGGGAGGGGAGGGAAGGCAGAGGGGAGGGGGTGCCTCCCACTGCAGCCTGGGAGAGACCAAAGCCCAGCAGGCCCCCCAGGCCCCCCAGGAGCTCACGTGGTATACAGGAAGGCCCTTGTGTCCCCTGTGCTCACATGGCCCCAGACCCCCCCTCATCCAGGCCCATGGGCACACGGGCCGGGCCAGCTCCACAGGCTGACACCGGGCGGGAAAGGAAAGACCCGCTGGTGCCCTGGCTGGAGAGGGCCCGTGAGGCTCTGGAGGGGTCCACTGCCCACAGCTCTGAGTTCCATGGCACCCCACTGAAGAGGACCCTCGTCTTTCTGGACAGGTGGGGTGGTAGGGGAGACCGCCACCCTTGCACCCAGCCTGGGTGCACTGAGTCAGATCCCATACCCTCTTTGCTGGCTTCCTTTGTAGTGCTGGAGTGTTCCGTCCTCACTCTGGGGTACAGTGAGAGTCCTGACCCCTCCCCGCCTCCCCTCCCTCCCTGTGCCCGTAACTGCTGCCCGGAGGCTTGCTGTGGTCATTGCATGTGTGTGCGACCAGAGCCCACGCCGAGGCAGTGTGCACATCCCTCAGGGAGGACGGCCTCCCCGAGCCTGGGACAGGGGTCTTCCCTCAGGGAGGACGGCCTCCCCGAGCCTGGGACAGGGGTCTTCCCTCAGGGAGGACAGCCTCCCCGAGCCGTGACCACACGTGCCACGCTCCACCCTGGCCTCAGCGCAGGCGGGGGCACGGCCACCTGGTCAGTACAGAAGCCCACCACGTAGGTGGGGATGCTTACCAGCATAGACACCATGCAGCACACACCCCCGTGCCAGGAGCCTCGAGACCAGGGCTACACACATTTAACTGGCATTTCACAGGTCTCCAGGGTACGTGCATGCACACACATGTGCACGCGCACACCCCCTGTGCAGTGCAATGTAACATGCATGTGCTACACACAGCACACAGCACATACCTGCAACACGCATGCAATATAAACAGCATACATGTGCACACCATGCACAGCAATACACCTACCACACACACCACATGTGCAACCTACAACACACAGGTACCACACAATACTCCACACACACAACACACAGCACCCACGCCAGACACAGCACATCCAACATGTGTGTGCCACACAACACAGGGGTAACACACCACACACCACACACACTGCACACAATATGGCACACACATACCACATACACCACACAGAGCACACACAATATATGTGAGCCACACACAGCACACACTCAACACACATGTCCACGTGCAATACATGTATCACACCACACACAGTGCACGTGCACACACAACACACATACCACATATAACACACATGGCACACACACAACAGGGCACAGAGCACCACACACTACACACAATACACACCGGGCATACACACAATACATTGTACCACATGCATCTCATGCTACACGCAACACATACAGTGCAACCACATACATAGCACACAACACACAGTGCACACGTGATACACACCACTCACACACACACACACACACACACGAGGAAGGGCTTCCACATACAACAGCCCCCTTTTCTCTACTGGGTCATGCAGACTCTGTCACTGCTGGAAGAGGTCTGGGAATGCTGGGTGTCTGTGGGGCTGTGGCTGTGGTGGGGACCTCCACGCTGTCTGGGGTCTCACCCAAGCTGGGAAACTTCTTTTCCCAGGCTCTCTAGCAGCACCAGGTGGGCCCCTCCCCACCCCACCCAGACTGGAGCTTGTGGATGAAATTCAAGCTCCTGTTTGAGTCTCCACACTTCACTCAGCTCATGAGCATTTTGAAAGTACCTTTGGGTGGTGGGGCGGGAGCCTGTCTAGCAACCCCTCTGTAAGCCCCTGTTCTAAAAAGCAGGAAATCGGGTTGGGCTGAAGGTAAACACATTCCACCCGGCAGTCAATGGAGGGGCTTTGTTGGGGCTGGGGCCAGGCCCCCTCTGTTTTCCCAGCCCCCACCCCTCGCTGAGGCTCAGAGCAGGACCCACCTGCACACCTGTTTGCAGAGTGATAATGCTCCTTCCCCTGCCAGTGTGTACCCCAGGATCCTGCCCCCCGCCCCGCCCCAAAGTGCCAGGGGGCTCTGTTGATAGGATTGCTCCGGCACCAACCTTGGAACCTCTTAGGGCGGCAAAGACGGCGGGGGGCAGCCCAGCTTCCGTCCTGCCCCTTGCACCCCCTCTCTGGTCCTGACACTGGGGGGGGGCAGTGGGCCCGGAGGCCCCTGGGGAGGTGGGGAGGTAATGGGGGGGCTGCACGAGAGCTGGGAAGAACAATGGGAGCACCCCAGCTTTATCACAGGCAAACACACAGACCCCAATGTGGGAATGTGCAGCGCCCCCCATCCACACCACCACCCCGCACTTCCATTTCCGTGTCCTCCCTCGGGCTGTGGGCATCTGTCTATCTCTCCTGCCACCCTCACAGTCTGTACCCCCAGCCTTCAGCACCGTGGGCCACCTGAAGGGCCTCCCAGCCATGCTGGCCAGCACCTCTGCCAAGACAGCTTTTGTCTGGCTCTGTAGACCTGCTTCCCGCAAAGCCTCTCCTTTGGGATATTTATGGATGGCTACTCTGTCCGCACTGCCAGGGTCCGGAGGGTGACGGTGGCCTTTCTCTCCGCCTGGCATGGGGTGGCTGGCGGCTGTGCCCAGTGGGGTGCCTGACCCCCTCATGGCCCAGATTCCTGTGAGTAAATGCTGTGGCACACAGCAGTGGGACAGGAGAAGGCCAGGGGTGAGCCAGGCCTGGTGTGCGGGCCTGCAGCTGTGCAGCAGAGGGGAGGCGTGGGTGGGGTCCTCTGGTCTGTGTTCGTTCGTGGAGGCTTCCCCGTGCTCCTAGCAGTGGGGCTTGGAGGAGAGGATGAGGGGCTCAAGACCCCAGCCTCACTCCCCAAAGTGGCTGCTCGTGTCCACTTTGGTCCCCAGTCTCTGCATAGCCAAGGAGCCAGAAGGCGAGATTCGAGGGTGGGTGGGTGGCGGTGCGGGGAAGGCTAGGTGTCCGGCCTCAGGGTCTGGGCTCACTGCGTCTCCATGAGAGCTCCAACCACAAACCCCGGGTGGGGGCTACACTGGCACCCCAAGATTCGCTCCAACCCTGGCCCTCGGCCTCCCCCACCCGCCCCACTGCCTTCGATTCTGTCAGCCTGGTCCGGCACTAAAGCACGCTGCAGCCGGGTCAGTCCCTGTCTCTCCACCAGGGCCCTCACCCCCAGCAGAGTGGGGGAGAAGGGGATACCGTGTCCCCGCCATGTCCAGCCCCGGAGCTCAGCAGGGCTCGGGTTGGCAGGGAGGGGCAAGCCCAGGCAAGAGGGGGAGGCCCAGCGGCCACCGCGAGCCGAGCCTCGTGTTTCTGCGACCTCCTGGCCCTGGGGCGGCTGCCTTCCCCCATGAGCCCGGGTGCGGAACACGCTCCCTGGCTTAGCAAACCCAGACCAGGCCTTCCGGGGGGCTTCAAGGCAGGAAGCCCAGAGCCTCCTGGGTGGGGCCTGATCGCTCTCCTCCCATAATCCTCCTGTCCTCCCATAATCCTCCTGTCTCCACGTGGCGCCTGCCATCCTCCATCTTTGGCTGCAGGCCTCAGCCTGCTCCCAAAGGCCCCTCATGTCTGCAGGCCCGGCCTCACCACGTGACCCTTTCCGTGCCGTGATCCCCGGCACCCGTGAGACCCCTCCTCCGAGACCCCTCCTCCGCATTGTGCCCCCTCCCCAGCCCCACCCACTCCCCGCCCCCACCCCATCTCCTTTCTCCTGTGCTTCGTCCCTGACACCCCACCGCATGGCTTCACCGGCCCCACCCTCCCCCCCCCCTGGTTCCTACACCCCTCCCGGTGTGTGCTTGGCTTCGGCCCTCCCTCCCCCTCCCCCTGCAGCCCTCCCTCCCCCCCTTCATGTCCCAGTCCCCATCCACACCCACCCCAGACAAGCAAGCCATGGCACAAACGACTGTAACTGTGAATTTATTGATGAGTCCAGGGCCTCTGGGGAGGCCCTGGTGGGGAGGGGCACAGGGCAAAGTGGGTGTCATGGAATGTTTGGAGTGGCTCCAGACTTGGCGAGGTAAGGGCGGAGGCCTCAGGCACGCAGCCGCCCCGCTGGCCCGCCCGCAGAGATGGATGGACGATGGACGGCCGGAGAGGCGGGCGCTGGGGCGGCGGACCGAAGAGGCCCGCACACTCATGACACTCGACACTCACACAGAGAGACTCGAGGACGTCTCCAGAACTCCAAACCAGTGCAAAAGACTTAGTGCAAATTAACTGAGAAGGGATGGGTGGGGAAACAAGAGTCATGGATGCCTGGAGTCTCTCAAGTGAAGAAGAAAGGAAAGGCAAGAAACAAACACACAAAGGAAAGGATGAACGAGAAGAAGAGAGGAGGGAAGCGATGCTGGCATCCCAGGCAGAGGCCTGGCCCTGGGATGCTGGGTGGCTGGTGGTCTCCTGGGCGTGGCAGGGGGTGGCCATGGAGATGGAACTGTGGGGGGGTGGGGTCTCGGGTCTGCTCGTCCACGGTGTTCACGTGGTCTGTTCCTTTGGCTTCACCTGCCAAGAGTGACGTGGCACATGATGGGGGGGTGGGGTGGGGGCGGGGCTTGGGAAGCTTCCAGAAGGGTGCCCTGGCTCACCTCGAAGAGTTGATTCCTGAGGCAAGTTGTGTCTTGTTGTGTTTCCTGAGTTGCAGCATTTTTCTTGATTCAGAGCTAGACGGACTTGAAGAAGTCCCCGGATTCGAAGGCCCAGACGTGAGCTGGGTAGCACCATTTCTGTGGGTGGAGGACATGAGTCCCCTGGCCTCTGCCCACGCGTGCCCCGTTGGCCGCACGCGCGCTCAGGAAGGCCTCACCTGTTCATCTGGAGGGGTTCGAGGGGGAAGGGTGTGCCCAGAGAGCAGCAGTGTGTGTGTGAGCTCTCTCGGAAAAGCTAAGGAACAGACGTTGGTTGTGGGAGCCTCCCGCCTGTGGTGCCAGCCAGGTTGTTCTGGGGGAGACAGAGTTGGGGTGTGTGAACTGGGGCGTGGCCAGGGGTTGGGGGCGGGGCTTCACCCGCTGTGCCCCACCCCCTGCAGTGCAGTGAGGGGGGGGGGAGCAGGATTCACACTCATCACACTCACCCGGAAAGCTGAACGGCAGTCTCTCCCCTGCCCTCACCGTCACACCGGACCATATCATATCTCTCAAGTAGATTCATTGCACTGACGTCCTGGCCTTTAAGACTGACTGGCCCGTCCACCCCTGCTGGAGACCTGGCTGTGGTGGGAGTGGCGGGGGGGGGGGGGGGGGGGGGAGACAAAGAAAGTGCTGGTTAGACACGGTGGGGGCGGGGGGGGGGTGGCGCTACTGGGGGGCCGGGCACTTACCCTCGCCTCCAGTCCGAGCGTGAGAGGCACCGGTCGCCCCTCTGTCGCTGCCCGTAAGGCCCGCCTTGGCCGTGGGCTCCGGAGGCCGGTACCTTGCCGCTCGCCACCTGTAGCCTGGCCTCGCCCTGCCTGCGCCCCTACCTCCCTCCCCGGAGATTGCACTTACTCTGCCCCGCCTGCCCCGCCTGGTCTGGCTTTGCCCCATGCCCTTGACTCCCCTGGTGCTGTCCTGTCTTGCCAGACCCAGGGGCTGAGCGGTTAGGGCATACAGCGTGAACAAGTCCACTGTGGGCCCTCTCCGCGCCAGCCCCTGGGCCGCAGTACCGCGCGCGGGAGTGCTGTGTCCGCAGGCCGGGCCCACTGCAGCCTCCTTGCTGCGAGAGTCCCTCTGGAGCCCGCCACCCACGGCCACCGGCCCTCCCTCTGGTGACGCCGTCGGCTGCGTACTGCCCTTCTTTCCCGCTCTCCTGTCCTCGACGCTCTGGCCCGGGCCACGCTGAGGCCCTGCCAGAGACACCCAGGATCCCGCTTCTATGTGAATTGCGGTGGATGATGAGGTGGCGGCTGGGGGCCTGTCTTCCTCGTGTCCCCCCCCCACCCCATCCAACCCACCAAGACTGGGACGCTCCTGCGCTCCCTGCTGGCAGCCCTGCGTCTGCTCCTCCCCCTCCCCACGCCCTCTGAAGATGCTCGCTCAATCCGGGGCTGCCCCTGGCCCCCCCGGCCTTCCCCGTCTCGGCTCCCCCCGAGAAGATGTCCCCTTGGCTGCCTGTCCTGTCTCCTTCTGCCCGCCGCCGTGCCGGGAGGCTGGGACACTTCTCCTCTGCGGCCCCGTGCCCTCCACCTCCATGTTCCAGAAGGCTAGGGCAGCGAGGCCAGAGAGAGAAGAGAACTCACCTGCCCAGCAGACGGCGTTCCTCACCTGCCCACCGCTGCCAGCTACACCTCCACCGCCCAGGCCTGGGGGTCGAACCCTGCCCAGCAGCTCCCCCTTGTCCAACCAGCCGCCACGTCCTGTAACCAAAAGTGACCGGGATGAATGCCTGGCTCCCTCCCCTCTCCAGCCCTAGCTCGAGCCCGTCAGCCCTCCCCGATGGTACCCTTCCGCCACCACGCCCGGAGCCAGCCGATGTCCCCCCGGCTCCCAGCCCCACCGCCTCCGCCGAGCCCGAGCTAGCCCCTCCGCCCTTCTCCATTCCCGCCAGACTCCAGACGGCCAAGGTGCTCCTTGGCCCCCACGACTCTCCTCCAGCACCCCATCTTCCCCAGTTTCCCCCGTTTCCCCCCCCACCCACCCACCCTCCCACCCACCCCCCTCCCTCACCCTGCTCTTCGGGCCCCTAACCCGGGCTTTTTCTAACTGGGGTGGCCCCGCCCAGAATTCCCGCCCCTGCCCCGCTAGCCAATCAGAGCGAATCCCTGCCGGGGCCCCCGCAGGGCCCACCTCCGCCCCCGGTCCGTTCCAGCACCCGCCCAGCCCGCTCACCCCAGCCCGCTCACGCCCGTCCTGGAATTCTCCAAAGACAGCCTCCCCACACCCCTCCTTTGGTATCTCTTAGGCAGGTCTTGGCGCTGGCCCGAGCACCCGCTCCGGGCTGAGAACTTCTGTCTTCTTCATGGACCGCGTGGCGCGTGCCCGCCCGCGGGAACTCTGCCCGCCAGCAGGGGCAGCTCCCGCTCGCGGTCTGTGCTAGGGGGTCTCGCGGGCCTCCCCAGGGGGAGCACTCTGCGGTCGACGTCTACCCTCCCGGCCGCTAGCTTCGGTTCACTCTCGGGGTCCCAGGACTCAACAATAGAAGTTGCCAGGAACCGCACACGGGGAGTGGGGAATGGTCAAGACTCGGGGCCTGTGTGTCCAGGGCAACAGCCGGGCTATGCCTTTGCTCATTCTGGCCTCAGTGGCCTCCCCAGCACACCGAGTTGGGGTACCCCAGGGCCCCCTCCTGGCCCCCTCCCCGAGGTCCACATGGTGCACGCACCCCAGTGAAGGCCTCGGGAGGTGCTGCAGCCTCCCTGGGCTGCTGAGCACGGGAGGCACTGGACGCACTCGGTGACAGCAGGGGACAGCAGGGGGGGGGCAGCGCCCCTGGCCCCTTGGATCTCCGGCCTCTCTCGGCCTCCACCAAGGTGGCGGTGGAACCATGGCATCACAGTGTTTGCTCGATAAGTTACACAATCTGGTGGCCCAAGGAGGGAGGGACCCTAGGACCCAATGTCATCTAGGACCAACGGCCAAGGACCCCAGATCTGTCCCAGACTGGCCATGTGGCAGGGTCTCAGGCGGGTGTGGGTTAGGGGATGCTTCAATACTTTGAGCAGACTTTTGGGAGGTCTTGTGTTCCCACGAAGTGTTGGCTGCTGGCTAGTGTGGTTGTGGGTGAGCTCCATTGTCACTACATGAACCCCAGACCTCACCTTGGCAGACCCCAAGTTACAGGACAGGCCAAACCCCCTCATCTGCCCTGAGGGGACCCTCAGCCTCCACACCGTCATCATGCGGTCTCTCTACACCCTCAAGCGTGTGTGCTCTGAGGGAGGGAGGCAACACCCCAGTCCCGCTCAGTCTTGGGTAAGATTGGAAAGAATACCCCAGAGCACTGGTACCGGCTGCATCATCACAGAAGGGCTCTCCAAAAATCGGGAGCCCCATCCTCCAAGACTGGGGACCCCTCCCATCTCCCTGAATGTCAACAACACGGTCTGGGGGTACATTCAGGTAGCCTCGGGGGTTTGCAAAAGTCTTGTACCCCAATGACCCTGGACACCCTATGACACCAGAATGGGTACTAAGGGTGAACCCCAACATCAGCTGCTGGTCGCCAGGCTTCAGCGTGTGAGACCCTGCCTCCACCAAGTGGCTACTTCTGCTCTTTTACCAGCTGAATTCTGCTCCGTCTGGGGCGGGAGCCGAGCCCGATGGTTTAGGGTCCAATACCAAGGGGGATCACTCCAGAAGCACACAACAGACAGGCCCTCATCCACATGACGCCGGTGAACTCCAATCTCGGCTGCCCCAGGGCTTCTGTGTGTGCGTTAGTTAGAGTGCGCTGCGCGGAAACTCTGTTCCCCACCTGAAACCAACTCCACGCTGTCCGGGAAGGAAACGAGCTCACGGGTTCGGGGGTCCAAGACTCAAAGGTCCCCTCTAGAGATGTGAAAGACCTGTGAATCCAATGGCTTTGTGAGCTCATTGAGGCACTGGCCCGGGTGACTCTGCCACCAGTGAACCCCAAACTCGGATGCCCCAAGGCTGATGTGTGAAACCGTGCTGCCACCGCGCGGCTGTCCGCACCGGCAATGGCTGCCGCGCTGTCTGGGGCGGGAGCCAAACTTGCTAGTTTGGGAGCTCAAGTGCAGAAATAAGACCCCGTGAACCATTGAGGCACCAAACCCCGGTGACTCTGGACATAGCCACGGGTGAACCCCGACCTCAGCCATGTCTGGGCTGCGATGTGCGGGGTCACCGCACGCGGCAAATCTGTACCTGCCGAGAACCGCGGCAGCGCCATTTGGCGAGTGAGCTGCACTCGCCGATATTAGAGTCTGGCCCAAAGGGGACTCCTCCAGAGAAATGAAGGGTGTCTTGTTCTCTCCCCGTGACCCCATGAACCATTAGCGTACTGGACATAAGAAGACCCAAGACACAGCCATCGTGAACCCCAATCTCAGCCAGCGCGGGCTGCGTCCATGTGTGAAACCATGCTGCCACCGCGCGGCGATTTCCGTCTTTGCCGACAAAGGCTGCCGCGGTCTGGGGAGGGAGCTGAACTTGCTGCTGTGGGGGACCCCTCCAGAAATGCACAGGCACCCCATTTGCTCTGTGTGACCCTGGGAATCAGCGACTCTCGGGCCTTGGTGACCCGGAACATTTGCGCAGTGAACCCCACACTCCACAGCACCGGGCGGCGTGTATGACCAGCTGCCTCCACCTGCAGCGATTTGTCCACACCGGTGACAGCTGCTGGGTGGTTGGTAAGCCGAGCTCACTGGTTTTGGGGTCTGGCACTCTAGAGGGGTCCCCTCTAGAGGTACGAAAGTGTCCTATGCATCCATGACTTGATGAGCGAGCCCACTGAGGCACCAGGTCTGCGTGGCACAGGACATTGGCACCCTTGAACCCCAATCTCAGCTGCCTCTGGGCTGCGGCTGATGTGTGAACCCTGCTGCCACTGCAGGGCGATTTCCGTCCTCACTAATGGCTGCCGCACTGTCTGGGGTGGGCGCCAAACTTGCTGGTTTGGGGCTGCAGTGCAGAAGTACTCGGTGTCCCACTTGCTCCCTGAGACCCTGCGAATCATTGAGGCACCAGATCTGGGTGAGCTGGGACATGGCCGTGTCAGAGCTGCGATGTGCAACAGCGTGGTCACCACACTGCAATTCCGTCCCTGCCGGAAAACGGTGCAGCGCCCTTTGGGGAGTGAGCTGCACCAGCCAATTTTGGAGTTCGGGACGGAAGCAGTTCCTCCAGAGAAATAAAGGGGTGCCCTGCTCGCTCCCTGTGACCCCCTGAACTGTTGAAGCACTAGACCCAAGACGTGGCTGTGGGTGAGCCCAATCTCGGCTGCCCCAGGGCCGTGTCCATGCGTGGAATCATGTAGTCATGTCTGACCTGGGGGCCAGAGCCCAAAGGGGACCCCTTCCCGACACACACAGTGTCCTATCCTGCCAGAGTGACCTGTCAACCACTGAGGCTCTGTCCCTTGGTGGCTGGGGACCTTATTACGGGGGAACCCCAGAGCCAACAGCATCCGGGCTGCCTGCGATGTGTGATTTGCTGCCTTGCACAGCAACTTCGATGTATGCACTCACTATCAGTTACACACCATCTAGATATTTGGGACCATGCACCGTCCAGCTGACCTGACACCATTCACGGCTCCCCAGCAGCACTCAAGGCCTGAAATATAGACTCAGAAATACTTCTACGCTGGCCAGACAGATGTGCCTCTTTGCGCATGTGCGCAGAGTATATGGGCTCAATGAGCCCCAAGCCCAGGATTGGGAAGAGGTGCCGGCCAGGAGCAGCACGCCGACCCCTCCAGAGACTAAGTGCCTAGGGCGTCAGCAGCCTGCTCTGGGTGGAGGTGAGCTGGGGAGAGAAAGGCCTGGGGCTACCTCCTTGTACTCTTTACCATGCAAATTCCCCAATTAGCATCTCAAAACTCAAATTGGCTGGAGCTGTGCTTAGGAGAGCTCTTATTGTTTCCACCTGAGGTGAAGGTTCAAGCCAGGGATTTGGTGTGCTAGCAGAGTTGCTCTAGCTCTTTGAGCCACAGCTCCACTTCCAGTTTTGAAGGGTTACTTGGAGATTAGAGTCTCACAGGGACTATTCTGCCCTGGCTGGCTTTGAACCCTGATCCTCAGATCCCAGCCTGTCACAACATGACAGGTGTGAGCTACCGGCACCCAGCTTGGTGCCGTCTTCAGTGAGGTCTGTGCCATCCAGTGATCTGGTTTATACCAGGACCACCGCCCCTGGTAGAAATGGCCGGAGCTCTGTGACGGGGGCTCTGGTGGCTTCAGAGAGGGACCGGTGCTGCAGGACTGCGGATGTGCCCAAGTTGGGTGCCTTGGGAAGCTCACTCCAGTGTCAGATCCCCATGGCCGCCGAACTGGCTAACTGACCTGCAACTCTGTCACCTGGGAGCCCCAGTCGCAGCGGCTGGCCGCTGCGGGGTCTCAGTGTCAGAGCTGAGCTCTCTAGTTGGGAAAACATGATGAAAGAGGATCCCAGGGAAAACACATCTGTCCTATGCCCTCACAGATGACCCTCATGAACCGCACCGGCTCCGGGACTGGGCATATTGGAAGACAACCATGGGGAACCCCAATCTTGGTCAACTTGGAGCTAGTGGGTGTGACACGGTTCCCCAAGAGTTCTCTCTCCACCCTGATCAGGATGATCACTGAGGCAGGCACCCGAGGCCAGGGTGAAGGACTCGGGAGAGCTGTCTGTGCTAGGCGCGCAGCCCTGCAGGATCCCCTTGCCGGCTGGAGTCCGTGACAGAGGAGCATTTTCTGGAGCAGGGGTGCAGGGTGTCACCCGGAGGAGGACCCACCCACAGCGGATGCTCCTGGGCAGGGAGGGGTGCACGGCGGTGCCCCGTGACTTTACAGTCGGAGCCTTACAAATTCTTGTGAATTTGGTTCCCATGGGAGGCCGGACACCATGGTCCTGCCACCGCGAGAACGCCGTGACCCGAGTCACCCGCGGGAGCCGGGACCTCCGCACGGTCTGTGGTGTGTGCTCACTGAGCGCAGGCCTTGCCGGGACATCCAGTCATGACAGAAAGTCACTGATGGCCGGGGTCCTCAGTTTCAGGGAGTCAGGAGACAGCCGGCATGCTGGTGGTCGTGATTATCCGGGTCGCGCTGCGGCCAGCTTCCAGGCAGTGATGCGAAGCCAACGCCATCTCTCCTGGAAGGGCTTCCCCTGTCCATGCACTCTGCTGTCCCCCAGGGCCGACAAGGAGGTGGCCACAAGCACGTGCCACCTGTGTGGCAGGGACCAAACTCCTCAGCATGTCCCAGGGAACAGAGACGGGCCAGGCTTCGGCTGTGGGAGAGGGAGAAGGCAGGTGCTCCTGAGCCACACGGGGAGATTTCCACATGGGCTGCTGCACTGCTTGTGGGGAGGGCTGCCCCACAGAGGTGGGGGGGGTCTGAGGTAGCTTAGGTCTGAGGGCATAGAGGACGCGGTGGCACCAGGGGCAGGGAGGGTGGAGCGGACCGGCCAGTACTGAGAACAAGAGAAAAGAAGGTCACTGAGGCGGAGGATGTGTTCCTGACAAATGGCTTCTGTCCAGCAGTACCTTTCCCTGTCCAGCAGTACCCCTCCCTGTCCAGCAGTACCTCTCCCTGGAACTCTGGGTGCCTGCGTGCTGGGTAGGAAGCCACCAAACCTGTCCTCTGATGCACAGTGAGTTGTGTGCATGTGTGTGTGTGTGTGTGTGTGCGTGCATGCACGCACACGTGCACACACACGCACACACATGCGTGATGGTCCTGGGGCTTGAACTCAGGGCCTGGGCACTGTCCCTGAGCTTTTCCACTCAAGGCTAGTGCTCCACAGTGTGCTTCATCTCCACATCTGGTTTTTAGTCCTTAATTGGAGACTTTCCTGCCTGGGCTTGCTTCCAATCCCATCCTCAGATCTCAGCCTCCTGAGCAGCGAGGCTAGTAGGCCTGAGCCACGGCGCCTGGCACAAGGTTGGTTCCTACTGTCCTGCACGCTGGGGCACGGCTACGCACAGTGCCCCTCCTTGCCACCTCTGTAGTCCGGCATCTTTGGCCGCTATGGTGCAAGCCCCCCTCCGGCTTCTGCTCCTTGTTTCCCTCCGTCCCTCCTGGCAGCCAGCGCATCCCAAGGCCCACCTCACCCAGGGCCCTGCGGCCAAATGAAGCTGGGAGCTGGTTCCCTCCAGTTTGGGCACTTTGCCCTCCGTACACACTTGAGTCCTTGCTCAGGCTCCTGCACCAGTGCTCACTGCGGGCAGAGAGTCTCGGTGTGGCCCACGGTGGCTCTGGAGTCCGCATGTGTCTCCCAGTCAGCTCACGCAGATGGCGGAGGGGTCCCCAGGGTCCAGCCAGGCCTCCCTCCGGGGCCAGCATGGGCAACTCCAGACGGCAGGCTGGCCCAGAGCCCTTCTC